CTTTGATCCACCATATCTGTGCCGGTCAAAAACAACCACCAAAATATTCCAACCCCATTTTCTGTCACTTGGCTCATAGTTATGTATACCTTGGCATCACAAGTGTACATCTAAATATTTCTTAAACGTTATGAGGGTTTCCACCTCAACCGGCCTTATAGGCAGCAAGTTCCAGATTCCCACCACCCTCTGGGTGAAAGACATTTTCCTCACACCACCTCTATATGTCCTGCCCCTTACCTTAAATCTATCTGTCTTGGTCATTAATCCCTCCATCAAAGGGGAAAGTCTCTTCCTATCTACCCTATCTATGTCCCTCAATCCATGTCTCCTTTCAGTCTCCTCTACTCCAAGGAAAACAACCCCAATCAATCCAATCTTTCTTCGTAACTAAAACTCTCCAGCCCAGGCAACATCCTGGTAAATCTCCTCTGCACCCTGTCCAGTGCAAATGACATCTCTCTTATAATGTGATTCCAGAACAGCACACAATGCAGTAGCTAACCAACATTTTATACAGTTTCAGCATGATCCCCTTGATCTTAAATCTATGCCTTGACTCTTCAAGGACCAGCGGACATGCAAACCAAGGTCTCTGTTCCTTGGTGCTTCCCAGGGTCCTAACATTCATCGTGCATTCCCTTGCCTCGTTGATCCTGGGTTTGTCCAGGGTCCCTATTTGGATGATACCTCACCTTGTTCAAAGCTAATTAGCCAGGAATTTGAGAAGACTGATATAACAAAGATTAAACTTCAAAAGACAAGTGAAGCAATTATTTAAATCTTTAATCCATCTTGCCCCACAGCTACCCCAAACCCTTCCCGTTGCACTTCAATCCCATCTACTATCCTGCTTGCTGAAACATCTGCTCACACCTGGTTTCCTGATTCCCATCCTGGGAGAATTTCACCATTGTTTGGACTATCTGGTCCATATTGTCCTTGTTACCCAACAAGAGTCTCTCAGCTCCAAGGCGTTCAACGATGCTCAGCAAATTCTCAGCAGTACATTTCCGAACAGTGGTGTTACGATGACTGCATAATGAGAGAAATAAAACAAAGTAAGCAACATTCCACATTTTTTTTTTTAAAAAGGAAATTTATTCATGAGAAATGGAGCCCAGCATGCCTTGATCTTCTGCAGTTGCCCTTGAGAAGGTGATGGCAAACTAACTTCTTGAACTGCTTCAGACTTTAGGGTATAGTAAAACCAAAATGCTGTTAGGGAGCGAGTTCCAGGATTTTGACCCAGAAATGGTGGAGGAACAACAATACAGTTCCAAGTCAGGATAGTGTGTGGTTCAGAGGGCAAACTTGCAGCTGGTGGTGTTCCCAGGAGTATCTGCTGCCCTTGTCCATCTAGGTGGCAGGGGCACTGGTATGGAGGGTGCTGTCAATGGAATGTTTCTGTTGGAGAGAAGGTCATTGATGAAGCAGCTGAAGACAGTTGGACCTAGGGCAATACTCTAAGGAATTCTTACAGAATTGTCCTGGAGCCAAGATAATTCCTCTAATGATCACAAACTATTTTTATTCGTGCTAAGGAGGTCTTCAAACAGTGGAGAGTTTTCCCAATGATTCCCATTGACGTCGATTTTGCAAGGACTCCTTGAAGTCATACCCAGTCAAATGCTGCCTCAATGTCATGAACAGTCACCCCCTGCCATTACCTCTTTTAGGATCATACAGTGCAGAACAGGCCTTCAGTCCATCGAGACTACACTGAGGGAAAAACAAATCTACTCTAAATCTACACCAGTTCAATTTTCCAGCACTTGGCCCAAAGCCTTCAATGTTATGACTTTTCAAGTGCTCATCCAAATACGTTTTAAAGGTTCAGGTTTCCCACCTCAACTAATCTCCCAGGCAGTGCATTCCAGATTCCCACCACCCTCTGGGTGAAAGCATTTCCTCAAATCCCCTGTAAATCTCCTGCCTTTCACCATAAAATTATATCCCCTGTTATTGATCCTTCAACTAAGCAGAGCAGCTGTTTTGATCCACCCTATCCGTGTCTCTTATGTTATGCACCTCAGTCAGGTCCCCTCTCAAACACCTCTGCTCTAAAGGAAACAACCTGATCTTATTCAGCTTCTCTTCACCCCTAAACCACTCCGTCCCAGCAACATCCTGGTGAATCTTGTCTGCACCCCCTCCAGGGCAACTATATCCTTCCAATAATGCAGTGATCAGAAGTGCATACAGAGCTCAAGCTGTGGCGTAACCAAATTTTTGAACATGTTTGGGCCACGGCTTTAACAAAGTCAGGAGCTGGTGGAACCCAAACTAAGCATCAGCGCATAAATGCTGTCTAAGTGCCAGTTGAAGCACTACTGACACTTTCCATCACTTTGCTGATGATTGAAAGTGGACTTCTAAGGAGAAAATTATTTGTCCTTGCTTTTTTGTTAACAAGGCATACCTGGACAACCTTCACATTGTCTGCTTGATGCAAGTATTTTATCTGTACTGAAACAACTTACCTAGGGATCCATACCTTCAATACTACTGCTGGGATTTGTCAGGGGCCATAGCCTTTGCATTATCCAGTGTTTTCAACCATTTCTTGACACCACATGGAGTGGTTGAAGACTAACATCCCTAATGCTGGGGACCTCTACAGGCGGCTGAGATAGATCAGTCCTTCTATGAGGATGGAGATATATGTGAAACCTTCTCTTCCTTTAGTTGTTTAATTGTCCACCACATTCATGACTGGATATGGCAGGAGTGCTGAGTTTAGATCTACTCTATTGGCTGTGGTTCACTTAGCTCTGACTATTGCATGCTGCTTGACATGCAAGTGGTCCTGTGCTGTAGTATCTCCTGGCTGAACCCTCATTTTTAGGGATCCTCCTGGCATGCCCAATTGCACTCTTCATCGAACAAGTTGGATGCTGAAAGTGTGTTGGAGTCAGGTGCAATTAGAGCATTCAAGAGGGCATTAGATGGTTATTTAAATAAAAATCAATATTCAGGGTTATGGGGAAGAGTCAGAAGAATGACTAACACAAGGTTCAAACAAAGAGCCAGGCTTGAACTGCCTCCTTCTGCACTGTAACAATTGGTGATCCCTTGACTTGAGATGCTCACAACATTAGGTTAAGTGGCTACAGACTGGGGTTCAATGTGATTCTGCTGATACTGATGGTCCACAGCACCTCATGGATACCCAGTTTTGATACCCTACACTATTTTGAATCTCTCTCACTTAGCAAGGTGACAGTGCCAGTTTCACTTTTATTCTTTGGAAGCCTGGTCACTACAGAAGATAGTTGAGAATCAACCACATTGCTGTGTTTTGCACCAGGTTCAGCTTTTCTCGTGGCCGAGTTACCAGTATAAACATAAGGGATGGACAATAAATAGGACATTCCTAATATGGTCCAAATATCAAAACCAAAATTAAAAAATGTCCCAAAGCTAAAGGAAAAGAAGCAACATCAAACCAAGGAAGAAATACTAACGCTAGCTGACAATCCAAGGGATTAAGGACAAAGAGGTTGGGTTTGAGGAAGGTTTTAAGCAGAGGAATAGCAAGTGACGAGAATTGGGGAAACACACATCGGAGCAGACAGATAGAACTTTGCTTTAACATCTCATCCAAAAGGCAGTATCTTTGACAGTGCAGTATACTCATTATTGCACTGGAGTTTCAGGGCAGTTTTGCATTATTTTATTCAGGGCCTGGAGTGGGACTTGAACCTGGGACCTTGTGATTCAGAGGCAAAAGTGGGCCAACTGTAGGATTTTGTCTGTGGCCTACAGAGGGAGAGAGACTAAACAATGAAAAATTTTAAACAGAAGTTTCAGGGGAGGTGATGACTGAGTGGCATTGTTACTGGACTAGTAATTCAGAGATGTCTTGGAGACAAGGGTACAAATCTCACCATGACAGGTGACAGAAATTGAATTCAAAAAAAAAAAATCTGGAATTGAAAGTTGACCATGAAACCACTGTCTATTGTGAGGGGAAAACCCATTTCACATTCACCTGACATCTTCAATCTCTTCCTCCAACAAGTCAAAGTCCCCACGTGCTCTAAGACAACCACCATCATTCCAATACCAAAGAAAGCACGTGCAATGTGCCTTAATGACTACTGGCCAGTGCCTCTGACCTCCATAATCATAAAGTGTTTCGAGAGGATGGTCATGACTCACATTAACTCGAGCCTCCCAGCCTGCTTTGATCCCCTGCAATTTGCCTAAAGACAAATCAGGTTCACAACAGACACCATTTCACTAGATCTACACTCATTCCTATAATATCTGGATAGCAAGGACTCCTGCTCAATGACAACAGCTCCATCTTCAACACCATAATCCCCACCAGATGAATCCCAAAATTCCAGGACCTAGCTCTCAGCTCCGCCCTCTGCAATTGGATCCTCAGCTTCCTGACTCTCAGACCGCAATCAGTGAAGATAGACAACTATGCCTGTTCCACAATAACCTCAACACTGGAGCACCCCCTACCACCACCCCCCACCCCGCCACCCAACCCCCCACCAACAATGCATCCTCAGCCCCCTACTGTACTCCCTGTACACCCATGACTGTGTAGCAAAATTCTAAACAAATGCCATCTATACGTTTGCCAATGACACCACCTTGGTAGTAAGGAGATAGAGGGCTTGGTGTCATGGTGCAACGATAACAACCTCTCCCTCAATTTCAGCAAAACAAAAGAACTGATTATTGACTTCAGACAGAAAGGAGCAGGACACACCCCCATCTACATCAACGGAGCTGAAGTGGAGACGGTTGAGAGCGTCAAGCTTCTAGGAGTGACGAGAACGAACAATCTGTCCTGGACTTCCCCCAAAGATACAACAGTCAAGAAGGCACTACAATCCCTCTTCTTCCTCAGGTGGCTTAGTAAATTTGACATGTCCATAAGGATGCTCACCAACTTCTACAGATGCACCACAGAAAGCATACAATCTGGATGCACAAGGGCCTGGTATGGCAACGACTCTACCCATGACCATAAGAAACTACAGACGGTTGTGTACACAGCCCGGACCATCACAGAGGCCAACCTTCCATCCATGGACTCCATTTACACTTCTCATTGTTGTGGAAAGGCTGCCAACATCGTCAAAGACTCCTCCCACCCCAGTAATGTTCTCCTATAAACTCTATCTTCTGGCAGAAGATACAGAAGCTTGAACACATGCACCCAACAGGCTCAAGAACAGCTTTTTCCCTGCCATTATTAGATTGCTGAATGGACACACTAACTTCAGATAATGTTGATCTCGCTAACATTGATCTTTCTTTGGGCACCTCCTGTGCAGTGCAACCTGTATGCCTTGTTCTATCTAAGCACCCTATCACATGCATATCCTCATTTACTGTGATCTGTCTATACTCCTCGCAAAACAAATATTTTCACTGTACTTAGGTACACGTGACTACAGTAAATCAAATCAAGTCAAATCTGGCTCACTGAGTCCTTTAGGGAAAGAAAGCTGCCGTCCTTATCTGGAGTTACATAAAAGACAGTAACTGAAGAAAGTAACTGATTCTTAATTGCCCTTGGAAACAGCCTATGCAAGCCATTCAGTTGTGTCGACCTTTAGGGCAACCTGGGATTCCGAATAAGAGCTGGCCAGCCATAACCCTTGAATGAATTGAGAAAAATTATGAAAGTTGGCTGTGAAAAAATCTAATCGTAGGCAATTAGATGTATTTCCAGAGATTAAAGAAAAAGGAAAGAATTACATTTCATCAATCAAAAGCTTTTTCAACATTCTGGCCCGTTCCTAAACGGTCATGCATTCTACAAGGCAGATTCTATGGAACAGGTAAAGGCCAATTAGCAATTAACAGGATTTCCCCAAGCCCATACAAGAGGCAGAAGAACAGGCACGGCCAAGATTTCTCTGGAGGAATGGTTCCCGAGTTGCCCTGTCTTAGAGGGTCACTTCGGGTCAGAGAGGTCCTGATGATGGACAGCGAGGAGTTCAGGCCTATTTCAGTTCTTGGTGGATGAAGTACAGAGGTAGTGAGAGGTGCACAAAGGAAGGCTGGAGTGTACACCTTGCACCAAATCACATTAAAATTAACACACGGAATCAGTTCATTAGGTGAGTAACAGAAAGGTTCCCTAATTTCTAAGTGCCGCTTGCATATTGGCTTACTTTAAACCGCCTGCGATAAGGGCAGTCAGTGCCCGCGATGGGCTCACATTCTCTGCCATGACAGCCAGTGCCTTGACCGCCTCCTCCCGGATGAACTCGTTGGAGTCGCCCGTCTTGTGAAGCAGGATTCTGGTCACTTCATCCACTTCCTGGTCCATGTTTCTCCTCAGCTGAGAGAACAGTTCACTGAGAGACAAGATCGCTGAGCGGGAAACTTTGGAACGTAAGTTATTGACCTGGAGAAATCAAAATATTTTACCAGCATTTAGCTAGGATCTGCTAGAACCCATTCATCAGTTTGCGAATACCATACTTTGAGAGCCAAAGGAATGAAACTAACAGTGAATCTGCATCTTAAAATTTGGCAGCAGGAATTTAACAATACTTGCCAACTTACCACAAGGCAAAATTATGCTGGATTCCAAAACACGTATTGGGATCTGCTTAGCGTAAACAAGGAGTTATCATCTGCCTTAAGATTTGGTCTGAATGGTTGGAAATTGTTGACATAATTCCAGGGGAGATCTGTCTCAACATACCACAACCAGTAGCAGCTCCACTGTCCTTTTTACAAAGAAACTAGGTAAAATAGGCACCAACTACTTCTAATTTGCCTCTGTCAATAGGTGTGGATCAGGGATAGAAAAAATGTAGCTCAATCCTGAATCCACGATGATTGGAGTCACACTACCATTTCCATCGTTAACGTCCTACATTTCATTTATCGCAGCCCGTGAACTATCTGAAATATTCCCTACTGACATACAGAGGCTATATTATTTACAGGATGTACTGCAACACCTCTTCAAAGATTCTTCAAAAGGAACTCCCCAGACTTGCAATCTCCATTTCCCAAGAAGACAATGGCAACAAGGAAGACTACAGAAATACGAACAGGAGTAGGCCATTCAGCCCCTCAAGCCTGTTCTGCCATTCAAGAGGACCATGGCTGTTCCGACATTCCTTGCATCCACTTTCCTGCCCTTTCCCCATAATCCTTGATTCCCCTATTGATCAAGAATCTACCTATTTCAGCCTTAAGTACAAGGAAACAAACCAACTCAAATTTCTCACATCACACACCATCCTGAGACCAAAACAAGCATTTCATCATCACTGGGTGAAAAATGCTGGAACTCTCTAATGAACAAGAACTAAGGTGGTACCTTCATCAGATGGACTAGAGGTTCACATGGAAGATTCGGCATCAGAGGTGAGCACTTAACAGCGGTATTGCCAGCAAGTGTCTACTTTCCAAGGGCGGACAAAGACAAAACATAACCCATGGGCTAATACAAATTTTCAAGAACAAGTACCTCCTCTTCCTCATGCACCCCAGTCCCTGCCTGACTACTGATTTCGCAATTATCAAATAGATGGAAATGAGAAGGATTTTGCAACACATTCCTTCTCATACATCTACAGTAACCTGCACTGCCCCACATTCATACCCAACTACATAGGAGATTCTTCAGGATCCCCAGCCCCACTTTCTCATCCAGAAACCATACTCCATACATAGACCTCCTTCTCCATGAGGAGCTTCCTGGTTTTCCACAGTTGGAAACTTGCATCTTGTTACTCCATTGTTTATGGCTCTGTTTGAAGAAACATTCCAGATTACATTAACATTCATTTGTCTAGAGTCTTTAATATAAGAAACATTCAAAGATGCTTCATAGCTAGTTGCAAGGAACTTTATTCACCTTTCTATATCACTATGCCATGATCTCTCACTTCAAGTTTTCAGCAAGTTCAGATCTTAACTGCCCCATAAATCTGACAGTTTCATTTCAGAGCTGTTTCTATTCCTCTGTTACTTATTTTAAAATTTATTTATGGGATATGGGCTTCTGTTGCCAACTGCCCTTGAGAATGTGGTGATGAGCTGCCTTCTTGAACCACTGCAGTCTATTTGGTGTAGTTAGCCCCATTGTGCTACAAGGAAGGGAGTTCCAGGATTTTGACCCAGCAACACTGAAGGAATAGCAATATATTTCCAAGTGAAAATGGTGAGGGGAACTTGCAGCTGGTGGTGTTCCCTTTTATCTGCTGTCCTTGTCTTTCAAGATGGTAGAGACTACATAGGTTTCTAATGCATGTTTCACAGCACACAAGAAATATGTATCTATCTCTTATGTTTACACTTATAATCCTACCAAGCAGTGCAATGCCATTTAGTCCATTATAGCTTTGAAAGAATTAACCAATTAGGCCCTTGCCTTTTCCCCAAGCTCTGGAATAATTCCCCTCCCGGCATGTAGTGAATTCCGTTTAACGGTTATGATGGAATCTGCTGGGACTACACTTTTAGGTAGTGCATTCCAGATCATATGACTATTCAATGAATTCCACTCCTCATTTCTTTCCTCAAAATGCTCCTAAGATTTTTTTTTTTTTTTTTTTTGAGTGTTTAGTTGTTTAGATCAGAGGGAAACATGTCCACAGATTATTGGCTTTCTTTGTCATTGTAGCATAGCAGATTTGTACTCCTCACTTTTATCACTTGCTGCCTTTTTTGTGGAAAGGGCCTTTCTTGCCTCTCCATGCCAGTTCTAAGGATAGGCCTGATCTGAAACTTATGTTTCCATTTCCCAGACATTTACCAACCGGTAACACCTCCGTTCTCAAGGTTTGAAATTTGGGAAAAGGCCTTCCCATGCTGGGTTTCAGAGAATAAGACCCAGAAAGCAGAGCTTCCACATCACCTACTTCTTTTGTCACTGCCAAGCAGACAGCATGAAGCCTTGTGAGGAGAAGCTCCTGATGGAATCGAGCCAAGCATCGAACATTTGATAACCCCTTCCTCTTCATTTCCCTGAAAGGACAAAACCAAAAAGAAAACGATTGAATTTTTCTTTGTGACAGACCAGAGGCATTTTTATGTTTTATTGTGAGGGGAACTGAATGCAAGAGGAAAGAGGTTATGCTTCAGTTATAGAGGGTATTGGTGAGATCACATCTGGCCACTGTATTTATGGAAGGATATTAATGCAATGGAAGCAGTACTGAGATGGTTTACTAAACTAATGCCTGGAATAAGTGGATTGCTTTTTAGGGAAAGGTTAGACAGGCTAGGGCTGTATCCTTTGGAGGTTAGTAGAGTTAGAGGTGACTTAACTGAAACATTCAAGATCCTGTGGGCTCTTGACCAGGATATGTTGAAAGGATGTTTCCACCAGGAGAGTCTAAAATTAGGGGTCACAGTTTATTAATAAGGATCATCCATTGAAGACAGAGATGAGAAACCAGTTTTTCTCTCATTACGTTGAGTGTCTTTAGAATTCCCTTCCTCAAAAGGCATTGGATTCAGAGTGTGCCTCACAGGATTTTCAGTGTTTCAATTTTAATGACTATAGAAATATAGGAAATGGACCAGCAATATCAGGAGATGCAATTTCCCTGGGAGTCAAATCTCACCTAATAGCCATCCATTATAAATACACATTTTATGAAGCATTGTCTATTTCTCTGAACAGAGTCATTCAAATCAAATTACCCAACGATCCCCATGTTTTGATATTAAGTTCCCACTCTGTTGCATTATTTGAGCTGCTTAACTCAAATATTGAACATTTTACACCTTTTAATGCAACAAACTCTTTTGAATTATCAGGACTTGAGCATGTTGCAGTCTCTAAAATACTCTATCAGCTTCTGCATTGTAGATCGCACCAACTCCTCTCATTGCAAGGCCACTGCAAGGTCGCAGGGACAGGCACCCAGCTTATGGATTGGAGAATCTCATGGCTGCTTGCTCACTCCTTTAGTACCCAATCACTTTGTATGCTTTCAGCATCCTTGCCTTATGTTATAGCACTTTGCCCCCTCAGCTACACCTTAAAGGCTGCCAGTATTTCTGTCTTGCCTTGCAGTTTAGTGCATACACAAAGCCAGGAAGCTTATCATGCTGGCCAACAGTCATCAGATAAAGGAGTGGGCATCTTGCTGTACAGCAATGTGCTACATCAATTTCTTGTCTGTATGTGGCAAACACACTGCACATGCACAAGCCTTCAGGCAGGAAAGCTCAGCACAGTAACTCAAGGGCAGCCTTTGGTATCAGTCCAGGAGCTTGAGCACGGTCAGTATGCCTGTCAGAGGGTCAGTATCTCTGCACTTCCGAGGATGAGGCCAAAGTCAGCCCTGTGGGTCCAGTGCCATCAGCCCAGGGAGTGGTGGGAAGATAGTCAGGGAGATTTACAGATGTTAGTCCAGAGTCTGCTCATTCATTGTACAGGGCTGACCAGCTAGGTCACTCCAAGTGGCTGTGGTCACTCCTGAGGGTCTGTCCACTATAAGTAAAGTGGGGTTTATCAGAGTCTATCATATCCCTTTATAATTTTATGCTCTCATCTACACTACAATGCCACCTAACTGTGTCATCAGCAAATGTGGATATATGACTTTCTATGCCACTATCCAAGTTGTTAATAAATAATGTGCATAATTGAGGCCCTAACATAGATCTTTGTGAGACACGTTGGTCACATCTTGCCAATTTGAGTACAATCCATTATCCTTTCAATCGGTGGCCTATCGCTCAAACAATTTCCCAATCATGTCAGTAATTTGTCCTCAATTTTACGGGCTTCTACCTTAGTTAACAGTGTCTTATGTGGGACTTCATCAAATGCCTTCTGGGGAAGTCTGAAAAAACAATAATCATAGACACTCCCCTGCCCACTACCTTAGTCACCCCTGCAAAGAATTCAATGAGGCTTATCAGACATTAGCTGCTGTGAATCCCTGATTAACTGAAAATTTTTTAAGGTGTTCAGTTATCCTTCCTTGATTATAGTCACCAAAAATTTCCGCATCACAGATATTAGCCTAAAAGGTTTGTAATTCCCTCAGTTTCCTTTCTTGCCCTTCTTAAAAAGTAGAGGGATGCATGCAATTTTCCAATCAAGACGGATGACCTTTGTATCTAGGGAATTCTGAAATATTATAGTCAAGACACTCCCCTAGTTCCTTTAACACTTTCAGATAGAAACAGTCAAGTCTTAAGGTTTTGTCACTCTTTACTTCTATGAATTTACTCATTTAACAGTATTAATTTTATTTAGTCCCTGCTCCTGATCCACTATTAATTTTCTCAGGACTTCCGGGAAGAACCTCAAGTAGAGGTGCAGCTTGAAAACGGGTCTTGGCCGAAACTGGCATTGGAATGAAGGCTTGGAATTGTCACATCCACAATGGTTGACTTCAAATGGCAAAACACTGGACAATAACTCAAGAGCTTAAGACAGAGGTGTAAATCTTTAAGTGATTAAACAGATTGCACACATTAATACTGAGCTCTACTGCAGTGATTCAATAAGGATATAAAGCACTGTTTGAATAACAAGACAATCCGCATTACAGAGATAGTAGGAATAGCAGATGCTGGAGAATCTGAGATAACAAGGTGTAGAGCTGGATGAACACAGCAGGCCAAGCAGCATCAGAGGAGCAGGAAGGCTGACATTTCGGGCCTAGACCCTTCTTCAGAAATGGGGGAGGGGAAGGGGGTTCTGAAATAAATAGGGAGAGAGGGGGAGGCGGATAGAAGATGGATAGAGGAGAAGATAGCTGGAGAGGAGACAGACAGGTCAGATAGGCGGGGACGGAGCCAGTAAAGGTGAGTGTAAGTGGGGAGTTAGGGAAGAGATAGGTCAGTCCAGGGAGGATGGACAGGTCAAGGGGGCGGGATGAGGTTAATAGGTAGGAGATGGAGGTGCGGCTTGAGGTGGGAGGAAGGACAGGTTAGGGAGGCGGGGACAAGCAGGGCTGGTTTTGGGATGCGGTAGAGAGAGGGGAGATTTTGAAGCGTGTGAAGTCCACCTTGATACCATTGGGCTGCAGGGTTCCCAAGAAAATATGAGGTGCTGTTCCTGCAACCTTCGGGTGGCATCGTTGTGGCACTGCAGGAGGCCCAGGATGGACATGTCATCTGAGGAATGGGAGGGGGAGTTGAAATGGTTCGCAACTGGGAGGTGCAGTTGTTTAGTGCGAACCGAGCATAGGTGTTCCGCAAAGCAGTCCCCAAGCCTCCGCTTGGTTTCCCCGATGTAGAGGAGGCCACAACGGGAACAGCGGATGCAGTATACCACATTAGCAGATGTGCAGGTGAACATCTGCTTGATGTGGAAAGTCTTCTTGGGGCCTGGGATGGGGGTGAGGGAGGTGTAGGGGCAGGTGTAGCACTTCCTGCGGTTGCAGGGAAAAGTGCCGGGTTTGGTGGGGCTGGAGGGGAGTGGGGAGCGGACAAGGGAGTCACGGAGAGTGGTCCCTCCGGAAAGCGGATAAGGGTGGGGAAGGAAAAATGTCTTTGGTGGTGGGGTCGGATTGCAGATGGCAGAAGTGTCGGAGGATGATGCGTCGGATCCGGAGGTTGGTGGGGTGGTACGTGAGGACGAGGGGGATTCTATTTTGGTTGTTATTGCGGGGAGTGGGTGTGAGGGATGAGTTGCGGAAAATGCGGGAGACACAGTCAAGGGCGTTCTCGACCACTGAGGTGGGGGGAAATTGCGGTCCTTGAAAAACGAGGACATCTGCGATGTTTGGGAGTGGAAAGCCTCATCCTGGGAGCAGATGCGGCGGAGGCGAAGGAATTGGGAAGAGGGGATGGCATTTTTGCAGGAAGGTGGGTGGGAGGAGGTGTATTCTAGGTAGCTGGGGGAGTCGGTGGGCTTGAAATGGATATCGGTTTCCAGGTGGTTGCCAGAGATGGAAACAGAGGCCCAGGAAGGAGAGAGAGGTATCAGAGATGGTCCAAGTGAACTTAAGGTTGGGGTGGAAGGTGTTGGTGAAGTGGATGAACTGATTGAGCTCCTCATGGGAGCACGAGGCGGCGCCGATACAGTCATCAATGTAAGGAGGAAGAGGTGGCGTTTAGGGCCAGTGTAGCTACGGAAGAGGGATTGTTCCACGTGACCTACAAAGAGGCAGGCATAGCTTGTCAGTACCCATGGCCACCCCCTTTGTCTGTAGGAAGTGGGAGGAATTGAAGGAATTCTTTGATTCAGGTTTTCTCAGCTGCCTCGAAGTAAAGAATATTTTAAAATCCAGACTTGTTTCTGACCAGTCGCTGTTAGCCAGGAGTTTCAGTGCCTCGGTCAATCCTTGCTCCTGTCGGGTGAACGAGTGCATTTCCAGGAATTCTTCTTCATCCATTTCTGCATCTCCTTCTGGGGAATCCGAAGGGAAGCCAGGCAGTGACTGAGCTGGAAGAGCAGACATGTTAGGCAGCAAAACATCAGTCTCAAAGGAAATAAAACATTGTGGTTAGGAAGACAGCAATTGTTGGTAACTAAACTGGCCAATTTTCATCCAATCTAACTTGTTATCTACAGTCGTGGTAGTCACATGATACAACATTAGTGGAATTTTCAGCAAAACACTGCAATTCATCTCAATCAATCAATTAGTCCACAATAGACCCAAACATAAGGGAAGGTCCATATGCTGGAAGGGTTTGGAAAATAGTCCAGATGCACTATTCCTCTTAAAAACACTATACCTACCACAAAGAATCACAGAATGCTTTTTAGCATGCTGATGCCATTTGGCCCATCATATTTGTGCTGGCTCTTTGCAGCTTAGCTAGTCCCAAAAAAAATCAGCCTTTCCCTCTGACTGCAAATTTTATCTTATCCTTCATAACCGTTCACTGTATTAAAATAACATACCCATCTTGCCTTTAGTTCTTTTGTCAGTCATTATAAATTGCTGACCTCTGGTTCTTGGCATTTACACCAATGAGAAAAGTTTTTATCCACTCAGTCCCCAATGTCTCTCAATTTTGAGCACCTCCATCAAACTTTCTGCTCCCTAAAGAACACAAGCCAGCTTCTCCAGTCTATTCATGTAACTGAAGTCTCTCACCCTTCTTATAAATCCCCCCTGATGCTATCACATCATTCCTAAAGCGTGGTGTCCAGAATGGGACATAATATTCCAGTTGAGGCTGTACCAGTGATTTTATTTTTAAGGGGTAGATATAACTTCCTGGCTTTGATACTTCATGCCTCTACTCAGAGTCCAGGATACCAAAGCTTTTTCAACTTCCCTTGCTATCTTCAATGAATGATGCACATGCACCTCCAGGTTTTTCTACTCCTGCAATTTCAACTCCTCAATCTAGAATCTTACCTTTTAGTTAATATTGCCTCTCATTTTATTCTACCAGAATGCATCACCTCACGCTTCTTAGCATTAACCTTCACCTGCTACATGTCCACCTATTGCACCAATCTGTAGGTGACCTCTTTATCACGGATTGTCACATCTCAAAATACTCAAGTATTTGTCAACATGCAAATTTTGAAATTGTGCCCTATTCACAACAGGTCTAGTTCATTAACATATATCAAGACAACTAGTTGTTCTAATACCTGCTGCCTCTCAGCACCAGGGACTCGGGTGCAATTCCGCCCTTGGGTGACCGTCTGTGTGGAGTTTGCACATTCTCCCAGTGTCTGTGTGGGTTTCCCCCTGATTCTCCGGTTTCCTCCCACAGTCCAAAGATGTGCAGGTTAGGTGGATTGGCCATGCTAAATTGTCCATATTGTCCAGGGATGTGCAGGCTATGGCAGTTAGCCATGTGGGGTTACAGGGATAGGGTAGTGGGCTGGTCTGGGTGGGATGCTCTTCAGAGGGTTGGTGCGGACTCGATGGGCTTAATGGCCTCTTTATGCACTATAAGGATTCCAGGATTCTATTTTGTCATGGTCAACATCAAAATCCCCAAATCTGTATTTGAATCACCTCTGAATCTTCTCATATTAATGTCTTGCCAATCACAATTTTAAAATATATTAATGTCATTGCTAAAGTTACGGTAAACTGCTGCTGGGTATTAAATGTTTTTGAATACATATAAAGATGAAGTAGCCGAGACACTGGGGAGGTTGGCTCAGAGCTGAGAGACTGAGCAAGGCAATAAATTCCTTCGAAGTAAAACTGTGTCTTGGTTTCTCCTTCACCAGCCAGCTTGGATTATGTCAAGATCTCTTTCCCATTAAGAACATGCCTAATTTTTGCCTTATATGATAGACATGGGTATATGTACGAAGGAGCAAGTCATATACTTGCAAGAAGGGAATGTTTTCTATTTTGAGTGGGTTCTATAGTTGATGCATAATCTAGCCCACCATATCAGCACTCAGGCAGTAAATAAATAATTTCACATCATCCCTAACCCCACTCCATGGTTTATGTGAAGAGGAGCTGGGAGTTACCCTACAATGTTTTACTCACCCCTGAAAAACATGACTTCTATTACCTCGAAGGACAAGGGCAGCAGATACATGGGAGTACAAACTGAAAATTTCCCACCATCTGCCAAGCTTAAAACATCTGAAACCAAGAACAACAAGGGCAGTTGGAACATTGAAAACACCACTACATGCAGGTTTTTCTGAGTCAAGCATCACCCTGACTTGGAACATACAACTGTTCCTTCAGTATCACTAAATCGAAGTCCTGGACCTCCCTTCCCAACAACATTGTCAATGTAACTGCAGCAGTTCACTGGCACCTTCTCCAGGGCAAGTAAGGAAAGGCCTTGGCAGTGATGCTCAGATCCCATGAAAGACTAAACAATGAATAATTGGGCAGAGTGTAGCCTTACCTGTGGCATCCTCATATTTATTCTTCCCTCTCCATCGTACTCTCCTAGCACTCCCCACGAACCTCTCGCTAACTAAAACAAGCAGAACTACAAGTGAATTAGCTGTGCTTAGGCACTATTCCATATTATACTATTTGTTTACCTGAGAAATGTCGAGGTACATTGTTGGTCTGAATGATATTTGGGATGCTCGGCAGCGAAGGACAATTGATTCGTTTTCGCAATGAACTGCCATTATTGAGAGTAGAGCTAAGACTGATCTTGCTGAATTCCTTACTGTTCAGTAACTCCAGAACTGCACAAAAAAGAAACACAGGCAGCCACCGTGTATCTTTCTATGAACCTCATCAACAACAAATTGTACTGATACAACACACACCACAAAATAAAAGATGCTTCACAGGACTGTAAATCAGATTAAACTGATCCCTAGCACACACCAGGACAGGTTACTAAATGTTTGTTCAGAGAAGTAGGACTTAAGGAGCACCTTTACAAGATCAGAGATTTTCCAGAGGAGATTTTCCATAGTTCAGGGACTTGAACTCCAGTGATGGAATGGAAGAAGTGGGAAACATACAAGAGAAGCAATTAAATTCACACAATTTTATAGGACACTGTCTCTCTGACTTCACCCTCCAGTTCACCAGAGCCAATGTCTCTCCAAATGCACAGGCAGACAGGACCTCTGTCTCATTATATTTGTTGATGTGAAAAGACATTTTTTTTTTTCTCACCATTCATAGCAGCTTTAAGTTAAGACATTTAACACACTGGAAAAACACAAGTCCTTTTCCGTTTTCTATCAATTCAAGAGGCAAGACTCCTAATGAGTTCATTCTATTTTGAGCTTGGCAACATCAATCTCGCCACATCTTTAGATGGTAATAGTGGAGTAGGCAGCGTTCGGGCTCAGCCTGGGGCTCGCTTCTCTTTTTTGTCCCTTTTCTTGTTCTTCTCTTTTTTAAAATTTTTAAGTTTTAAGTTTTATTTAAACTTACCTTGTGGAGAGCAGAGGGCAGTGATGGCATTGGAGCATTGCAGCAGTTTAGGGTCTGGAGTGGGACAGTCAGTGAGCCCAGAGCAGAGCTGGAAAGCTAGTGGTCAGCAGGCTGGTACAGAGTTGGATGGCCAGCGGTGAGCAGGCCCAGAGCAGAGCGGCCGGCAGGGTGTGGGCCCAGAGCGCGGCCGCTGGCGGTCAGCAGACTGTGGTCCATTGGGATCAGCAGCTTGTGAACCCCAGCACAGGGGAGAGTGACACATGCGGAATGCCCCCAGCGTGCAATGGCTGCAGGCTACAGAAAGATGGTAATATCTATCTTTTAACTTTAGTTCTTTATTTTTGTAATTTACACAATGTAGAACTGTAATGTAGAACTTTTAGCTTTTTTTTAATTTCTCTATTTTTGTATCTAATGTATTTTGAAACCTAAGATTTGTAACAAGGTACTTTGCATAGCATATATGGCGACATTGTACACATTGCACTGTACTTCTGTACTTTTGGGCTCGAGTACATGTGACAATAAACCTAATTCTAATTCTAATCGTCACCAATGCAATGCTTCTTCTTTAAATGATTACAATACAATATACAAAATAACAAAATGTCTCTTGTAAACATGTTGTTGAACTTAAAGCCTAGGGGTCATGAGTTCAAATGTCAAACTGGTAAATTTAAATTGCATCAATAAATCTGGTAATTTGTGGCATAGCATATCATAATGTTAAAGATTGAAGTAGTGTCTTTCCATCCTTTTCCATATCTTGGTAACATTTTAAAAAGACACATCAAATGTGGATTTTTGTGTCTGTACTATGACACATATCCACACATTCCCTTGATTGAAGGTAGATATGATTTATTTTGCACATGGAAGTGAAAAAATTATAGCAAATATCATCCAGCAATGGCGAGGAAAGAGATGGTTGTGTAGTGATAATGGCGCTGGACTAGGAATTCAGAATCCTCCTGCTAACATTCAAAGTTTGAATCCCACCATGGCAGATGGCAAAATTTGAATTCGATAAAAATCTTAAATATAAAGCTAACTTAATGGTATCTGCTATCAGGGGGAAAAACCCATCTGGCTCATTTTAGGGAGAAGATTTGCCAGCTCCAAATTTCTCCAACAGTTTAATTACTTATCTGCTCTGGCTTACATGTGTTTCCAAACTACAGAAGTTTAGTTGACTCTTAATTGCCCTCTTGCCCTCTTTCATCTGTGGGCAATTAATGCTGACCTGGCCAGCGATGCCCATATCCCGTGAACAAATAACAAGGTATTATTATTAGCTCCGAGGATGGGTTGGACAAACTCAGATTGTTTACGCTGAAGTGTTGGAGGCTGGGGGGACGACTTGATGGAAGTATATAAAATTATGAGGCATGGATTAGGTGGATAGTTGGAGTCTTTTTCCTGGGTGGAACTGTCAAATACTAGGGGGCATAGGTTTAAGGTGAGAGGGCAAAAATTTAAGGGAGCTAAGGAAGGAAAGCTTTGTTTTGAAACACAGAAGATGGTAGGTGCTTGGAACACGCTGCCAGAGAAGATGATAGAAGCAGATACAATAGAAAATAATAGACAGACATATGAACAGAAAGGAAATTGAGGGACACAGACAATGTGCAGGCAGATGGAATTAATTTAAAATCATCCTGGTCTGCACAGATATGGTGGGCCGAAGGGCCTGTTCCTATGTACTGTCCAATACTCTAAGAAAAGGCTTAGAGTTGTCGAGTTTAGGGCTTTGAATTTCCAGACACACCCCTGACCCTGATCCTGATCCTGCCCCCACCAACAGCATCTCATAATTGCTCTCCACTTAAAACCTCCCTTCCCTGATAAAGTTTATTTCCTCCCCCTACCGTGACATCTGCTTCATTACCTGGGACAGTATCGCTGTGGGGTGTGATCTCCTGGAGTTGCTCTCTCAGCTGCTGTTTTAGCTTGCTTTCCTTCCGTTGTTGTCTCTGCTCCATCTCTTCCCTCCGTTTCTGATGCATCTTCTCCTGCACTGACTTTGAGATTGTCATGTGACATAGCTGTGGAAAATTTGGGGGGCCAGTGCGGAGGTAGAAAATAGATTTAGCATTGAAGTACTGATGCCGAGATTTTCAATTCCCACATAGAAGCAAGGGTTTACCACACTCCAGATGAAGATACAGGTAGTTCTCCCATAATGCGAAAGTTGCGTTTTTGCATGACCGCGCGCTAGAGAAAATTGCTATACCTGTATATCAGAAAGTTTGCGTTATCCAAACAGCATCCACTATGCATCAATCGCTTTACAGCCAATTCACATTAACAAAACACGCGTTATAGCAAAACTACCTGTATGAAATGAAAACTCTAACACAAGAAACATTGATGGAACAGAGTTCCTGAGGCACTGACAGTTTAACTGTATGTTCTTACAGATATTTTTAATCAGCCTGTTCAGAGATGTTATTATATATCTATGGAACAGGTGGGACTTGAACCCAGGCCTCCTGGCTCAGAGGTAGGGACACTATCAATGTGCCACAAGAAACTCATTCATATGTTTAATATGGATACTAACAATCCAATTTGGATTAAAATCTTGGAGGCATCAGTCTCTTTCTAAAGTAAGTTCTCTCAGGTCTTTGTGTCTTCTTGTCACTTAGGACATCATGATGCTAGGCAACAGTAATGTTTTTCACTTTTTGTTTTCTGCAGCATTAAATGTACATGAACACATTTCTAGACAATCCTGAGCCAGTAATGAATGGGACTGAAAAATGAAATGAAAACTATGTCTTGCCTTTGTAACACAAACAGTATCGAAAAACAAATTAAACTTTAAGCCATACATGACCCTGGCCACTTCGAAATCCAAGTGTGCAAATAGTAATATTATATCATATCATGAACAGTGTGCATGTCCTATTTCAACCACTTGACTTCAGGCCCTCAGAATATCCTTTGCTTCCCTTCTGAATATATCTGTCGGGTTTTGGGGAAATCTCAACTACTTCCTGTGCAGACAGTTCCACATTCAACCTGTTTTCTCAGGAAGGTAATTCTTCTAGCTCCCATTTGGATTTATCAGGAACTATCTTGTTTCCTGGTACCTGGTTTTGAATTCTCCAAAGCATTTTTAGCATTGGCATTGCTTTACTGCCCTCCGACATCACTTTTAATGATTTGTTCAGCTATATCCAGAGATTCCTTTGTTCTCCCACTCTTTTCAAGTTTTTCTCTTATTTTGCAAGGCATGGTTAATGTTTATGTTTTTCCCAATCTGGAAAGCATTGCCTGAAAAGGTGAAGGAAGCAAATTCAATCATAGCTGTACTTGAAACAGAAAAGTTTGCAGGGCTATGGTTAAAGAGCAGAAGAGTGGAACTAATTGAGTTTTAACTTTTAAAGAGCTGGCACCGTCTTGGCAGTTTGCTTCTGTGCTAATTGATGAAATGAGCAGATAAAGTTCAATGCAGAGCTGTGTGAGGCGAAGCACTTTGGTCAGAAGAACAGTGAAAGACAATACAAAATGGGGGTATAATTCTAAAGGGGGTGCAGGAGCAAAGGAACCTGGGTGTATATGTACACAGATCATTGAAGGTGGCCGGAGAGGTGGAAAGAGCAGTAACTAAAGCATATGGTGTCCTCAGCTTTATGAATAGAAGCATGGAATTTAAGAGCAAAGAGGTGATTTTGAGTTTATACAAGAAATTTTGTTAGACCTCAGCTGGAGTATTGCGTACATTTCTGGGTGTCACATTATAGGAAGGATATGAATACGCTGAAAGTTATGATGCCAACGTCAATACTCACTCTTTCTTCATTCTCCGTTTCCACATCCTCCACTGACTCCTGTTTACTCACTTCTGGACCTGTTTCTGTACTCAGTCTGAATGAGATGACCATAGTCTGGTTCAGTGATGGCCCTTCACTTTTGTCCTTCTTGGCTGACAATGGTGTGCTTTGGTCTGTACAATGTTCTGTTGAAGTGATGGCACAAAGGTTCAGTTTAGCCCTGTGTCACAACCACAGTATGATCAGTGAACAGTGAACGATATGGACTATTTAACTCCTTTCTAGTTTCCTTTTGTGTTCCTGTTAAAAATAGCCAGCAGCAAAACTTTAGTTTTAAAACAGGTTCAAAGCAATTGTACAGCTATTGCCAAAAGTTACAAAATAAAAACGTGATATATCAGATAAAATGATGAAAGAAGACATAGATTTAAAAAATACTGAAAGTTGAAAATGAAATCTGTCCAGGAATGGCTTGCTTGAAGATTTCTTTCTCTGAAGGTGTAGGTGTTGAAAAATTTGAAGTTAGAATTCAACAGTTTCACTGCTTTCTATAGTTAAATATTTGGAGGTTGTCTGCACAACTTATCTCAGTAAGTAGAGTTGGCATGGGTGGGGGGAGAAGAGAGAGAGAGAGAAAAAGACAGACAAGATACTCATCCCTCACTAATTCTGTGTTTACAAGCTTGCAGATTGCCTGGACCCTTTAGGCAGAAGGTGCAGAGCTGGATGAACACAGCACGCCAAGCAGCATCATAGG